CCGACGTCGGGAAATCGACGTCGGGAAGATGCAATTTCAGACGCTGTTGAACCTGCATGAGCAGCCCATTCTGATGCGCCGCTAGCGCGCGCGAGATGCTCTCCTCGTGGTTCCGCGGCGGCGGCGCGCGGCGCGCCTTCGCGACGCACAGCGGCGCGGACGACGCCGCCGTCGCCCAGTTCCGGCTCAAGTACGCCGTCACGGCGCTGCGGGAGCGAGTGGTCACGGAATTCCAAACCTTGGAGGTCTACGCGACTTCTGACGTGGGCAACCTGCTCGTCATCGACGGCGATGCGCAGTTGAGCGAGGCCGACGAGGCGCACTACCACGAGATGCTGGCCCACGTCGCCGTCGCGGCCGCGGCGTCGCGCGCGCCGGACGCCGAGCTCGACGCGCTCGTCGTCGGCGGCGGCGACCTCGGCTGCGCGCGCGAGCTGCTGCGCCACGATCGCGTTTCGAGCGTCACCGTCGTCGACATCGATGCGCAGGTCGGCGCGATCTGCGACCGCTGGTTCGCGACGCTCGGCCCGAAAGCCGTGCGAGGCGACGGCCGCCTCGAGGTCGTCGTCGGCGACGGATGCCGCTGGCTCGAAGCGGCCGGGGCGCGGCGCTTCGACGTCATCATCGTCGACGCCACGGACCAGGACGACGGCGAGGCGACGACCGCGAGCCACCCGCTCTACACGCGGCGCTTCAACGAGCTCGGACGCGACGCGCTGACCAACGACGGCGTCTTCGTCCGCAACTTCACGTCGCTCGCGCCCTACCCGCTGGACCACGCGCGGCGCAACGCCGCGGCCGTCTGCGACGCCTTCGACAAGGTCCGGCCCTTTTGCTGGTTCCAGCCCTGCTTCAGGTCCGGCCACTACTCCGCCCTCCTCTGCGCGCGGCGCTGGGGCGACGTCGTCGAGGACACGCGCTGGGCCGCGCCGCCGGGCGCCTGCGCCTACTACTCGCCGGAGGTCGCCAAGGCCGCATTCGTGCTGCCGCCGGGCGTCCGCGCGAGGCTCGGCGCGCTCGAGCCGCGCATCGAAGGCGCGCTGCCGCTGCGCGCGTCCATCGTCGCGCCGGGCGACGTCCGGCCCGAGCTGCTGCGGGCGGCGTCGGCGGCGGGGTAACGTGCTTGGGAGGCTTGGCACGGGGTGGCCGTCCGGGAAGGCCTCTGGGAGGTGTCGGGTCGTCTAAAAATTATTGCCACAGCGCCGCCAGTCTTCAGGTCGCAGCCGGGGGGGCGGAGTCGCGCCAAGTGACGCGGGACGCGGGACTTAGCGCGCCGACGAGTGGCTACAGACCAGCGGACTGAACGTGGCGGGGAGATGATCGCGACACCACAAGATCAGCGGGTAAAGCTTGTCCGTAGCAAAGGCTTCGAGCGACTCCCCGACGGGTTGGTCCTCAACGTTTTGCATTTCTCCTCTGACCCTGACCGAGGCGCCCTGATCTTCGCGTCCAAGGCGATCGCTACGCGACTCAGAGAGGAACGGGAGACGCTCGTCGCGGGGTTGTTCTCGACAGATTCGGGAGAGCGACTCCGCGCCACGAATCGCCTCAAATCTCTGACGGATGTCGAGAATGCACCGATCGGCTTCGCGGTCAGAACAGAGGGAGTGGTGCCGCGCTTCGTCGAGTTCCTGAATTGCACCGAGCGCGATTCCGATTCCATTGGACTCCAGTTCGCGGCCATAAACGTGCTCGGCGACATCGCGGAGGCGGGGCACCCGGACGTCGTCGTTGAGGCGGGCGCTCTACCCATATTTTGCCGGCTGATTTCGTCGGCCGCCGAAACGCCCGACGATCCCGAGTGTGCCGAATTTGAGCATCTCAGGCTGGCCATCTGGGCTCTCGGCACAATCGCTGAGGACGGCCCGACGAGCCGAGAACGCGTGTTTCGCGAGGGCGTGATGGCGACCCTTTTTGGAATGCTCGACGCGACGGACTCGGACATGTTGGGAACGGTGACGGCGACGCTAAATATCCTCTGTGAGTCCCCCTCTGTGGGGGGGTCAGCCCTGCCTGATGACGTGTTTGACAGTATACGGCCCGCGCTCCCGCTTCTCACTCGACTCATCCACTCGACCGACGAGGAGCTGCTGATCGATGCATGCGGTGCCCTGGCGAATCTGACTACGGGTGAACCCGAGGTCGTCGAAGCCAGGGTCCAAGCTCTCATGGAAGCGGAAACAGACTACTGCCGTCGCTTGGTGGAGCTCCTGGGGCACCCGTCGCCGAATGTTCGGGCCAACGTGCTAACTACGTTGACCAGCGTCACTAGCGGAAGCGAAGCCCAAGTGCGGATAGTCCTCGACTTGCATATGCTTTCCGGCCTGCTCCCGTTCCTCAGCGACTGTGAGACGGACGCGCGCGACGAAGCGTGTCGCGTCCTCGGGAACGTCGCGGCCACCGAATCTGTCGACGTCCAAGACATCATTGACGCGAATTTTATTCCACCGCTCGTCCAGCTCCTGAGTGTGCCTGAGCTTGAACCTCAAGAGGAGGTCGTCTGGGCCCTTAGTGCCATAGCGGAGCGTTGCTCGATCCAGCAGATCGAGGTCCTCGTCGACGCGGGCTGCGTCCTTCCACTCTGCGAGCTGCTCCCAGATGAGGTGAATCATTATGACCCCTCCGACCAAAACGCAAATCACCTTCTGAGAATGCTTCTGACACTACTGCGCATCGTGTTAAATGACGACGACGAGACCAATCGCACCATCTACTCGAAGGCAGGCGCGAAGATAAAGAGCTTGCGGAAGCACACAGATTTGCGTGTCCGCCAGGCTGCCGTCACGAGCCGCGTACGATATTCGCGCGCAAATACCGGACTCGATTCTTTTGCAGGTCGAACTCCTGGGGTTGCCGTTCTTCCGAGTCCTGTCTAGATACGAATCCTAGATACGAATCCGCGCGGTAGAAGTAGGCCATAGGAGTCGGTGTTCGCGCGAAGACCGAACACCAAACTACGGGCGCGCCTACTTAGTAGTCGACCGACTAAGGTTTAAGAAGAGGGAGCCCTGATTTTCCGGAGGGGTCGGCGTCCACGCGTGAAGACTAGTCGACCGACAGCTCCTCGGACTCATCCGACGCTTCTCCCGCGCCGCCGAGGCGCGCGACGGCCGCCGCCGCGCGCTCGACGAGGGCGTCCTTGTCGAGGCAATCCGCGTGGCTCAGGCCGCCGCGCTCGACGAGGGCCTTGAGCTCCTTGATCTTCATGCCGCGGAGGTCCGCGCGCGCGGGCACGGCGCGCTCGTCTTCGTCGGTCTCGTCCGACTGCTCGTCGAAGTCGTCGGACTCCGTGCGCCCCTCCGCCGCGCGCGACGCCTCGAAGATCTTGTCCATGCCGCCGTAGAACCACGGCTTCTCCTCGCCCTTGAAGAACGCGAGCACGGAGCTGATGGTCGTCGCGTGGCCTGACGCGGCGAGGCGGTGCACGACGTGCATGGCCTTGGGCGCGTCCTCGCGCGGCGCGCCGCGATCCTTGGCGGACAGGAGCGCGAGCCGCGCGAGCGCGCGCGAGCTGTTCTCCAGCGACGTGATCTTCTCGGACCAGGTGAAGCGGAGCGAGAGAGAATTCCAGACGAAACCGCCCGAATCCCGGAGCATGATTTCCGACATCGAGTCCGCCATCGCGCCGGGCGCGGTCCAATCGTCCGTGAATTCGTTGACGACGCAGTTCCGGCCCGTCTCCGGGTCGGTGGCGACTCGACGCACGATGACGATGCCCAGGGCCTTGAGACCGTTCGTCATCGGCGCGTAGCCGTCCCAGGGCACGTCAAACTGACAAATTTCCCCCCCATCGTCGCGGCCGTCGTAAGGTTTCGCGAGAGTCCCGGGGGGGTCGATGCGTCCGGCGTTCGTCTTCTTGGCATTGATCCGCTCACCGGTGAGGTAATTGTACTGGCCTGCGAGGGCGCGTAGGTCATGGTTCGTAGGCTCGTAGACACTGATACTGGCTTCCCATGTCGCAGAAGCACGGGCGCTCCCCGAAGGTTTGAATGCCGGAGCGACGACAGAAATCAAACGAGCAGCCGGGCTCGTGGAGCTGACCGATCTGCGCCCCACATTTCCAACAATCTTCTGGCTCCCAAAGGCGTTTGAGGCGGATGGGATCGTCGAACAACTCGCCTGGCGTCCGCTCG